GTATACTTAACCTAACCCTTGTATACTCATCCTGAATCTTGTATTCTCAAACTAATCCCTGTTTACTTAACCTAAACCTTGTATACTCAACCTAAACCTTTTTTACTCATCCTGAACCTTGTATACTCATCCTGATCCTTGTGTACTCATCCTGAACCTTGTTTACTTAACCTAAACCCTGTATACTTAACCGAAACCTTGTATACTTAACCTAAACCTTGTTTACTCAACCTGTATTCTTAACCTAAACCTTGATACTCAATTTACTAGAAAACTCGTAAACTTCATGGTACCACTTTAATCCTGTAGTTTATCTCTCTCTGCTATATTCAATTTCCAGATGACCTCTACATACAGTCCACACTATCCCTAGGGGGTACAAACCCCCCCCCCCACCCACCCCATTCCTCTCAACAACAAAAAGCTAAATTCTTTTAAGTTAAAATTTACACAAAACAGAATTTTAATCTATATCAAACCAATCTATTTAAGTCAGAAACCCTTGCAAAGTCAATTTGTTATTAAAAAATGTTTAATTATTTGATTTAAGGTTTTCATTTTTCAAATTTAGCGTTTTTTTCTCCTTTTTTCAGCTGTTTGGTTTCCATATTATTTTAGACACATGAAGCTTAGTACTGCTGAGTGATGATATCTATTGTCTAGACGGTTAGGATTCAAATTTTGTTGATTTCAATTAAAAATTTCAATTAATTATTTCAATTATTTAACCGTTAATTTTAGTTAGCGCCGGGTTTAAATTGTTTACACGCAAGGTGCGTAAATCTGCGAGCTCCAGTGCACAAATGTTAATCAGTAAAATAATTTACAATTTGCTTGAAAACTGATTTACGCGTCTGCAACAATTTTCTGTACGGAATATGTTTGTGCGTTGAGTGTGTGTGAAATAATCAGTAGTTTGAGAAGATTTTGTTTTAAATTTTTTTTGTTCTGTTTTGCACGCGCTAAATAGATTCATTTCGGGATTAGTTGAAATCTTGAAAAGGACGATTGATTGATTACTTTTTTCAGGTTCAATCGATCAATCAAACCTGGTTCGAATGCGAAGTTCAAATCTGGGGAAATCTGCTCCTTCCCTTTTTAGCTCAACGGTAGGAAATCAAAAAAATATTTCTTTTTAACAGAAAAAAATATTTGTTTTCAAAAAGTGCAATGTTCCTTGATATTTCTTTTCTTTTAAAACACAAGGCTCATATTTTCTCAATGCATGTATTATTTTACTTCCATGCAAGAAATATATAGACCAGGAACCGCCATTTCTCATGCGTCAAATCTGTGTACTGTAGTGTGGGAGGAGATCAAAACAAAGAATTCAAGGGCAACGCATCATTTTTGAGGGAAAAGGGCCCAAGGGGTGGAATAGAAATATATTGATATTGTATTTTCCATATTGACTAGAAAGCCAAAAAGCATATGTATTCTCTCTAACTTGATATATTAACTTGTTTTTTGTTGGACTGTAATATAGAATGTTTATCAGAGCTTTAGTCCTTTCCCTTCAACTTCTGTGGGGGCACTGGGTTTGTTTACATTCCTCCCACATTGCAGTACATAATATGCGTTCTTGTATATAGTTCCTTGCTAATCAGTGTTAATGAAAATCTGATGAACAATTTTTCAACAGAAAATACACAAAATAAGTTTTTTATTCAGAAATATTCAAAAAGAAAATTTTAAGTTTTTATTTAAGAAAAAACTGTATTATAAGTGTCTAACAAAGATTCCCATAATCAAATAATATGCTTGAACTGACGAGGTTTCGTGAATTTTAAAACTTATTTTTGTATATCTCTATTTATATAAATATAGATATACAACGTACTGTAATGTAACATTAAAGTTCGATCAAACAGATACAGTTTCTAGGGTTTACATCGGTACAAGTTTTTTATTATTTTACCGAAAAATTACATTTTTTTTATTTAATACGTTTATATTTCAATGATTGACTTTTGTAAAATTCGAATTTATATGTATTCTCGGTTTAAATGATCTCATTCTTTCAGTATGCTACTAGAAAAATTCCTTATTGCGTAAAAGTTCAAAATATGTAGGATAAAAGAATTTTAACGCATTCTTTTCCCTCTCTTTAACTTGCTAGAATTAATGACAAAAGAATCCGCTAGATGAGGTTACTTTACAATTCTCAACGAAACCTCTCCTTAGGTATTGACATAATTTCCATCAATGCCTAAACTAAAATATAGAGGACGGTAAAAGCGAATATAACACTACTAGGAATTCACTATAAATGAAGATAAGATGCAGTCCGAGGAGTCCGAGTGATTTCATTCATAAATAATTCATCCTGCAGTTTCAGGATATGATATCAAATACAAATTAAAAATATTATTTTTATGACGTATGTACCGGTGTGTGGGGGGGGGTGAACTACCCTTTTCCCCTCCGGAAATATAATTATAAATTTAATTAATTTTTTCAACGATTGTTTTGTTTTTTCTCTACAATTCCTTCTATTAGGTGAATTTTTGTTATGGAAATCTTTGTCATCCATGATTTCTGACAAAATTCAAATTTTTTTTACATAAGATGATATTGATGATGAGTTTGCAGACTTTCAGGGGAGGGACTGTAGAGTGTACATATGTAATTTTTACTCCTCACGTGGCATGTACAATTCACAACGGTACCATATTTTAACCATCCATGAGTAACTATATGAATGATATCGACGCGTTATTTTTATCTTTAATATGCAAGTCAATTTGACAATGAAACCTCAACAATAAAAAATTAATATTTAGAAAATGAAAAATGTATCAAGTTTTCTTGATCAATTAAAGGGTACCGTTGTAAATCGGATATCCTACACTCGAGGGCCACTTGAAAATACATTCACGCGGTCCCAATTCATCAGTTTAAGAAATCCAAACAATACTTCAGTCCTTTCTTAAAAGAATATAAGATGTGTACACTGTACATAATATACAACCTTTTACTTTGTTCATAGTAAAATTGTTATTCATCGACTCTATTAGGATATTGACAAGTTTAAAGTCGTCATGACATTTTTATGTTGGGGGGGGTACTGGGTGAGTAGAAAAGTAGAGGAGGCTGAACCATGGTTCCATGTACTCAACTCTAGTTCTCAGTTCTCAGTTGAAAACCTGTAATCCTGGGAGAAGGAGGATACTCGTATCCGTCCTCCAGCAGATTCAGTTCTAAACCCTACCTTGAGAAGGACATTTAACCACTAGGATAATTCTGAACTAGGGTTTACTTCCTGGTTGGAATCCGTAGACATTGAATTTCCCCAAACTAAATTTGAACTGACAACTTCGTGACTGAAACCCAATCAAAATTCCAGGTTGAGACTAAATCTAGAAGTTTTCAGCTATTGTTTACTTTATGAAATATCAGTTCTGACAGCCCTAGGATTTCTCCAGGTTACAGGTTAAGGTAGGTCACTGATCAAGTTAATAGATAAAAAGCGAACCCTTATCGAAAATATTGAATACCAAAATATTGAGACATATCGGAGCCAAAAAAATTGGATATTTTTCTATGTTTTTAACTATGAAAATCCTGAAGACAATTCTTCTAACAATTTCTCTGAGTAAGATAAAGAAAATCCTTCTCAGTTTCTAAAAGAAAAGTTTGCAGAAGTGTAACTTGAAATTAATTATATATACTTTTAGAGAAACTAATTAAAGTAATAGAACTCGTTGCAACCTTTTTATTTTAAAATAATGAACCATAATGTAAACTATTTCTTCTGATCGGTTGATCGTGAAGGATAGATGGGTTGGTATCCTAGACTAAAGAGAGTACCCTGAGTTTCACAAATTGAACCTATTCTCTAGAAGATGGAACTATTAGTACGGAGTTGAGTACTCTTTCATCATTAATATTAAAAAAGAAAAATAGAAAATAAACAATTTGTGCAGAATTCAACCATCATAGAATTTCTCAAATCCATTGTTATTGTCCTATTCCTATTTTGCGTTGGACGCAGCTCTTATATTAAGGACGCATATGTACAAACACAGATGCAACATTATATAATCATATATGTATAAAGATGTTGGATGTAGAGTATGTTTAGAACAGAATAATGTATGTTAAACATGATTATAGTGGTGTTTGTATACTCGGAGAAAACAAATGGTTCGTCTCAGCCCAGGATATCTAGATTTTCTAAGAGAAATGTATCAATAAAGAAATCCACGAGTCCTGTCCCTCCCTATAACAATCTCATGTATTTACCGAACTCGGGCCCAAAGGAGGGAAAAACAATTGTCAGGTTTTTTAGATGAATAGATGATGTTGGGGGGAGTTATGTAAACAGTATTCATCTTCAATATAAATATTGTAAACATAGAAAAGAACCTTTATCATAAACCAACCTAATGTCAATGTTGAGAAGAAGAAAAGATGTTAAATACTGAGGATAGAAGCTGAGAAGTATGCAAATTATATTTCTGAATATTCAAGATACAAGTCTTTCATCTTAAAGGAGAAGCGAAGTTAGTTAACTGCACGTTGTAGGAAGGAGATGGGAGGTAGGGGGTGGAAGGTTTCACGTAGAGGAGAACATTTAAAAAGATTCGGGAAAGGAAAAACTTAGAAATGGAGAACTTGAATATCAATCAACGAAGGTTTCATGGACGAACAGGTGTGGGAATGAAGAATAGGAATGGAAAATAAAGAGAACAAGGGAGATAAAATGTAGAACGGAAAAAAGGTATAAACAAGACAGAAAATGTGAGTTGGAGCGGAGAGGATTTTAGAACCAAGGTTTTGTCTAAACCAAGAAGATGTGAAATAGAAATAGAACAAATTCTAAAAGGAACTTAGAAACTCAAGGAAATAGTCATATAAAGAATATATAGAGACGGAGACGGAAAACAAGGATATATGACCAGGGAACATATAGAGACGGAGACGGAAAACAATGAGATAAGACCCGGGAATATATAGAGACGGAGACGGAAAACAAGGTTATAAGACCAGGGAATATATAGAGACGGAGACAGAAAACAAGGATTTAAGAACGGAGAATTTATAGAGACGGAAACGGCAAATAAGGATGTAAGACCGGAGAAGGAAAACAAGGAGATAAGAACGGAGAATATGTAGAGACGGAGACGGCAAATAAGGATGTAAGACCGGAGAAGGAAAACAAGGAGATAAGAACGGAGAATATGTAGAGACGGAGACGGCAAATAAGGATGTGAGATCGGAGAAGGAAAACAAGGAGATAAGAACGGAGAATATGTAGAGACGGAGACGGCAAAGAAGGATGTAAGACCTGAGAGGAAAAACAAGTATATTAGAATGAAGAATATATAGAGACGGAGACAGAAAACAAAGATATAAGAACGGAGAACATAGACGGAGACAGAAAACAAGGATATCGTGGACCTGAGAATATATAGAGACGGAGACGGAAAACAAGGATATCGGACCGGAGAATATATAGAGACGGAGACGGAAAACAAGAATATAAGACCTGAGAATAAAGAAAGATGGAGACGGAAAATAAGGATGTAAGACCGGAGAATATATAGAGACGAAGCCGGAAACAAGGATATCGGACCTGAGAATATATAGAGACGGAGACGGCGAATAAGGATGTAAGACCGGAGAATAAAGAATTAGGCGGAGACGGAAATAAGGATGTAAGACCGGAGAATGATAGAGACTGAGAAGGAAAACCATTATCCTCTATTAAAATTCTTGTTGAGTATGTTGAAAAGGATTGTTATTTCTGAATTGTATAGGTTTGTCCCAGGATTGCATGCTGGAATGGATTCTGACTCATTCTTCCTTGTTCGGATCTAATCCATTTGACCTTGAAATTTTGCTTTCTAAAGGGCCAGGGTGCAAGTTTAAGATGATGAAGCTTTCAGAATATATCTTGAATTTAATTGCAGTTTAAAATAAAAAAAAAATACAGTTACGGAGAACTAGATTCGTCATGACTTTTTGATATTGTTCGTGACTGTGACTGTTACTTTTTAAACTATTGAAATAAAAAATAGTTTTGATATGCTCCTAATCCTGTGTCGATGAAGAAGGATTAAACTTTCCCAGTTTGAGAATTAAAACTTCTCCGGGTCCGAAAATTTGCCTAGTCAATGAATGCTTAATTTTTGCAGAGTCTATTCAGACTCTTCATAGCTTATCCTGTAAAAGCAAGTTACTTTTTTCAAGCTGACCTTTTCAAAACTTTTAATAAGTTCTATTTTTTGTGCAACAGAGTTTTAAGCGAAGATTGTTATTTTTAATATTTTTAAATGTACTTATATTTTTCAAGTTCTTTGTTTTTTCGTGTACCTAAAAAATTGTTCTTGAAAGAGTTTCTAGTTTTTCTATCTCCTCAAATCGATCAATCTGAGTAAAGTGCTACAATTTCAATTTCCGTACTCACGGTTCAAAGGAGCCTCTTAACTCTTGGATACAATAGCAATCTTCAATAACCTTTCTAAAAACAGGGATGCTTATTCTTTGTGTGAAATTGAAAAAGTTAACAGCAAAGAGCAAGGATAAAAGTTAAAAGTTAATTTTCTGGAAGGGGAAAGGGAACTTGAAAGAACTAGAAGAGTACTGGAACGAACTGGAAGGGTCTGGATAAACCAGGAACTATAGTAACTACGTAATTCTTCAATTTCCAATATTCATTCATTCAAGAAAAGGTTTCGTGTCTAGTGTGAGTCATTCTCTGGGTTTTTAGTTTCCGTTCAACTCCGTCCCTACTCCGGCCTGTTTCAGTATTCATTATTCTCTTTCATTTTAAATATTCAAGATGGAAGATTGAGATTAATATCAGTTCAGATCATGCTGGATCATTTATTATTCTAGACCTAGGAAGCATCTACTAGGGTTCGGAAGTATTTATTATTCTAGAACTAGGAAGCATCTACTAGGGTTCGGAAGTATTTATTATTCTAGACCTAGGAAGCATCTACTAGGGTTCGGAAGTATTTATTATTCTAGACCTAGGAAGCATCTACTCGGGAAAATGAAAATTGTGTGAAAAATTAACAAATAAAACATATATTACTGGTTTCAGGGAAAATGAAACTGATACGAAATTAAATTTTTGATGGTTTTAAAATATATTTTCAAATTCTCTTAAGTAAATATATAATTAAACAAATTTTGCTCAATTTAGATGTAAGTCATTTAAGCATAGCAAGAAAGCATTTTCATTATTTGGAATTAATAATAAAATTAGATCTTTTAACAACAGTTTCATTTATCATTCCTGTTTATATTTTATTGTAGATACAGACAATACAATAATAAAATAATCATATAAATTACCATAATTTCAAAAGATCTAATAACNCTATTATCTAGTATCCTGGTATCCTAGTATCTAGTATCCTGGTATCCTATTATCTAGTATCCTGGTATCCTATTATCTAGTATCTGATTCCGCGGAAAAAAAAACAAAATAATCAGAAGATAAATTTTTCTGCTGAGAAACCAAGATTAATTCTGTAGAGATTTATAGGAAAAGGGGAGGCACAGAGTGAAGCGAGGGGGGTAGGGTATCCAGAGAAAGAGAATTGGAAGGGGAGAACAGATTGAAAATAGTTTGATTTCGGATTCCATCAGTTTGAATTGAATTTGAATATTGGCGGCCGGATGGTTTAAATCCTAACAAGAGAACAAATCTTCAAATTTTCTTTCTTCAAGATGTTTCAAGATTTTTCAATACTTTTCCCTACAGTTACATTGATACAGCCAGCCAACATTTGTTGCACACAACACACTGGGTTCACTGGACGGGCTGGTGCGAGAAAATGCGTTTTGCAGTACAATTACCCTAGATCGGTTTGGATTATGCAACTATTGGACTCATTGTGCAGTAAGATCCGTAAAACTGTGGAATATAAAGACGACATTTCAGCAATCTTTTCTTATTCCGATTATTAAGTGAAATGGGTCTGTGTACACTACACAATTGCTGTTTTTCATGTTCATCGAACTATTTTGAATCATTAAATGAATTTTTAAACTATTGATAAAACTGTTTACTTTAGTTTAATCAAGTACACATAAGATTATGTAAATTTTGTCTGAAACAAAGATATTCACAGTGGAAACGGCGCTAAAGTAACACAATATTTTACTAAACATTACTGAACATTAAAATTAAATAGTCGTCCTTGCACAAACTATGTCTAATGGCCGGCGCCATGACAAACTCCTGAAAGACAGACTCCTGAAAGACAAACTCCTGAAAGACAAACTCCTGAAAAGACAAACTCCTGACGAGACAAACTCCTGAAAATAAAAACATCTGAAATACAAACTCCATATCAAATTTAAAAAAATGTTTCACAATTTAAATTTAATCTAGCCGCAGCGCTCGGCCCAGAAAGTGTCATAACTTAACCTAACCCATGNGGAGTTTGTCTTTCAGGAGTTTGTCATGGCACCCTAATGGCCCTTTATTTTAAAAAACTTTGAAAATGGAATTGTTTCATCTTTCAGTTCCTGT